GAGCCATGTTTCTTTTCAATTCTACAAAGAGTTTTGACATAAGGGTGAAAATACTTTTAATGTTTGAATGGTAAAACTATTTAGCTTACTTGAAAGATGTTCTTGACCAATTAAATAATGAAGCCTGAAGTTTAAAATGAACTGCACTATATTGCTAATATAAAGGGGAGTTAAAAATATTACAGGACACGTATTAAGCAACTTATATATAAAAAAATCTCCTTTAATGAGTTATCATTGAACTATTTATTTTTAGCTTCTCACAATTTGGTATTGCCTGAAATAGTACGACAGGCTTAAGTTTTATCTGTGTGCTTTGTGCATTCATTTAAATAGAGGAGAAAGCCACTTTTTGCTATTTTGGAAGACCTTCTTTTGTAAATGTTTGCCTATATTCCATATTTTTATTGGATTTTTTTTTCCCTCCTATAGTTTTTAATTGTTTTTAATTAGTTGTTTGGCCATTTTAAGAAATTAATAACCAAAAAGAAAAAAAAAAATTTTGGGAAAAAAAAAAATTTTTTCAATCTTGAGTCGAATAGTGGCAAGAAAGTTTTTTGAGTGGTACTGAAAAAGTTTTTATCTTACTTTTATTTCCTTTAAGCAGAATAATTATTTCATAAAATTTTAAAGGTAAAATTTTGATATATTCATAAAAGTCTTAGGAAAAGGTACTCTGTGAAAGCTTTTATAACTTTAAGGGTGCTTATACTTAGAAAGATGTTTAATAAAACGTTAAACATTTTGAGTACCGCCTGTAATTCTGTACACTAATTTGTAAGAACAGTCTAGGTAAAGTTAATTTTTTTATCTTAGGTTTTTATCTAGTTGTTTAATGAATTAAAGTTCTGAATAGCTGGACCATGGTGGCTCACGCCTGTAATATCCCTAGTTACTGAGAGACAGAGATCAAGGAGAGGATCATGGTTCAAACCAGCCTGGTTAATTAGTTTGGCAAGACCTATCTCGAAAATCCATCACGAAAAGGGACTGGTTGGAATGGCTCGGTGTAGGCCCTGAGTTTCAAAATCCAGTACGTGAAATAAATAAAAATGAAAGTTCTAAATTAATTTGCTATTATATTATAATTTTATTTTTTTCTTTTGGGGGAGTGTTGGTACTGGGGTTTGAACTCAAGGCCTCATACTTGCTAGGCAGGTGCTCTAACACTTGCCCACACCTCCAGCCCTTTTCAAAAAGGGTCTAACTTTTCCTCCCCAGGACTGGTCTCAGACCAAGGATCTTTCCTAACCTATCTTCTGTTTCTGTGAGTCACAAGTTTTTGTCACACTAACAACCAGGGCCACATGGATTGGCCACTCTGAGTAATCCAAAATGATTCTCATAACAAAGGTTTATAATTAAACCCCACCACTTTTAATAGCCTCTTCTAAATATTAGATTGAAAAAAATCATTATTATCAGAACAAAAGCACTAATGACCTATTTCAAGTTATGCATTGTAAATAGTTTACAATATAATTTTTTTTTCAGAAGATGCTATTGTTTTAGGAGTATATGAGAGTTATCAAACAATATGAAAAGTTGCATTTAATTGGCAGAATTATAGAGGTCTTAAACAATGAAAATGTGACTTAAAAAAGTAGAGGTAAAAACCCACAGAATTAAATTTAAGAAGTTCCTATAAAATGAAAGTTTTATTTATTTTTAAAAAAATCTTTCATGATCTTCTGAAAACTCAGGCTTGATTTGAAATTGTTTTTTATGGTTTTATTTTAGGGAAGAAAGAAAAAGAAAAGTGGCACAAAAAAATGGAGAAAATCTCCTAGAAGAAACAATTTTTCCAATGGGTAAAGAACAAACTTGTTTCCTAGAGAAGTGTCTTCTGACTGTACAAAAAGTCCGCAGAGTTTTCAGGCGTCATCTGAGTGGTGGTTGGTAAAATCAAGAGGAGAGTAAGTATTTTTTTATTAAATTACATTCTTTTGAGAGGGCGCCAAAAATTATTCTCTAAAAGTAATTTTTTTATGGTGACTTGAAATTCCTAATACTACAGAAGAATCTTACAAGGACAAAGTTAATTGATTCATCAATTGAACACTAAGTCAGTTATAATTCCTTGATGTTTCAACAGATGTAGGGTTTCTAGGTGTAGGGATTAACTGTGGTCAGTCTCCCAAAAACCAAAATCCCTTCTTGTGAAGCTTACATTAATATGGGAAGACAATATAGATAAAATTCATCGGCGTGTGTAGATGTTAAGAAAGAAAAACTCAGATAAAGGAGAGAGATGAGATGACAGGAATACTGTTTTCTAATAGGTTTATGAGAGCTATTATGATCTTCAGGTCCCATATATGGAGTAAAAGAGAGAGCAATAAAAATGACTGGGAGTGGAACATTCTAAACCAGGAACAGTAATTTGTGAAAGTCCTGATAGAACATATTTAGCATGTTTGTGGAATATGAAGGAGGCCGCATTGTACCTGGGGCAGAAGTGAGAATCAGACAGGCAGTCCATGACAGGCACATACCACCAATGCCTGGCTTTGTTTTGTTTGAGATGGTAATGAGAGTTACTTTTTACCCAGGTTTTGTCTTCCAACTGCAGTCCTCCAAAATTTCTGTCTTCCTGAGTTAAACTGGGGTTACAGATGAGCCACCATGCCCAGCATCCTTAGATTTTATGAGTTGAATTTCAGTGTAAATTAATGACTCCTACAGTTTTGAACTAGAATTACTTTGTTAAGTCTCAGTGTTTAAGCATGTGATTACCAACACTTTCTAAGCTCTTGAGCCTTTTATAAGGATTAAATGGCAATGATACAGTAAGATTGAAATATTAAACCACCACTGTTACTGGGCTTTGGGATACTTGTTTTTTCTGCTTCTTCCAACTGCAGTCCTCCAAATTTCTGCTCCTGAGTTAACTGGGGTTACAGGCATGAGCCACCATGCCCAGCATCCTAAATTTTAGAGTTTGAAATTTCATGGTGTAAATTATGACTCCTACAGTTGCCTAGATTACTTTGTTAAGTCTCAGTGTTTAGCATGTGATTACCAACACTTCTAAGCTCTTGAGCTTTTATAAGGATTAAATGCAATTGATACAGTAGATTGAAATATTAACCACCACTGTTACTGCTTTGGATACTTGTTTTTCTGCTCTAGGTTGCCTAAATAACTGTATTGTGTAATGGGTGTATATAAAAATTGGTGGAAAAAAAATTTTACAGAAACTTGGATAAATGTTCTAGATCTCTAAATTTGTTAAAAAAAGACTATGGTAAAAGTTTTCAAATAGAAGATATTGGGTTTCTGACCGAAGCTAGAGTGTCACAACAGTGCAGGAATCCTTGTAGTCATGTAGTCCAGGACTCCATCATCTACTGGAAAAAAAAACTAAAGTCTGAACACCACACTCACACACATGCACACACAACCACATGACTTGCACCTAAGCTGCATGTAGTACACATTGTGACACTGCAGACCTTTCATATATATAAAGATAAAAATTATAAGTGCTTGTTCTGATGCAGTGATGGTATAACCCAGGGCCAGGACTAGGTAATACAGGCACTTAGGTTTGTTTGAGTTCAGGCTATAACTTGCATGACCCTGAAAGCAAGACCTTCTTAAATTTTCTACTTGAGTCTACACTTGCTTTACTTAGTCCTTGCCTGTTAGACATACACTATAGAAGGTAGTTGAAAAACACCAATCAATTCCTTGGTCTTAAAAGAATTGTCAGTTCTGGGAGGAGGAAGTCAGAGAGATGAGTAAATAGATATGTGATAAGCATTAAGGAGGATTGTGAGAGAAAGAGCTATCCTAAGACTGAAGAATTAGGGAAACACTCCTGGAGGATTAATTAGGAATTAGCTAATTGAATATTGTGAAGAGGAAGGATAGCATGACTCATGCACAAGTAGCGCATGTAGTGATAGGAGTTAAATCTCTCTCTCTGTCTCTTTTTTTTTTTTTTTTTTTTTTTGAGAAAGGGTCTTGCTTTGTAGCCCAGCTGTCCTCAAAACTTGAATCACCCTTCCTCAGCCTTCCAAGTGCTATGATTAAAGTGTGAACTCCACAGCTATATCTGGCTGATTTGTCTTTAAGTGTACCTCAGAATGACTGAAGGCTTATTCAGAGTACTGGAACAAGTAATCTGAACTGTAGTGGGCCTTACTTATGTCCAGTTTTCTGTAAGTCTGAAGTGGGGCCTGAAAATATGCATTTCTAACAGATTGCTGGTGATGCGATCTTGGTGCGTGAAGGTACATTGGGAGGACCCGTACTTTAGAGAACATGTAATAGTTCAGTATTCGGCTCTTATTTGTTTGGAAGTGGTTGTTGAGACTTTTGGCTGGTGAAATAAGCAACTCTAATTGTAGAAATAAATTGATATTAAATGTTGGGAGGGCTGGCAGAGTGGCTCAAGTGGTAGAGTACCTGCCTACAAGCGTGAGGCCTGGTTCAAACCCAGTACTGCCAAAAAAAAAAAAGTGTTTGAACTTAATCTCAAAATGGTAGATACTCCACTAAAAATATTATTTTTGTTTTGAAATGGGTATTGTCATGTTGCCTCATGCTGGTCTCAAAATTTGTGAGGTCCTGTGATCTACCTGCTCACCTCTTCTATAGCTACAGGCATGTACCACTATACTCACTAAAAGAGTTTAAGATGATCCAAGGTTTATTTTCCAAAGATGATTCATGAAGCAGTGTGTGAAGAATGGTTAAGAACAGCAAGGCTACAGAAATGTTAAGAAACTTTTAATAATCTAAAAATGATTGTGGGTCTTTTCTAATATAAGCAGGAGAGCTTAAAAAGTAAGCAGATTTGAGACATTTAAGAAAGTAAGGTGACAAGATGGTTCTTGAATGACTCATATTTCTCGATTCAGGAACTGGTAGATACTTGTGCTTTTCATTAAGATAGGAAATGAAGCAGAAAGCAGATTTAGGGAAGAGGGTTGTAGATATTGATTGGTATCAACATATAGATATTCATTAAAACTATGAGTAGATGAGTCTCATAAGTGAAAAACTGAAGCTGAAACCTTGGGAATACAGGACGTTAAGGATGATCAAGTGTAGTGGGCAGAGCCAGAAGATGGTGTTTAGCAACCATGTGATGGATTTAAAGGGTAAATGTATGTCTCTCTAAATTGAATTTAAAGAATTTAGTGTGGAAACAAATTCAGCCCATCAGATTGGCCTATGTGTATGTGTTTATATGGGAAGATGATGTTGGATTTCAGTGAGCCAGGTCATCTGACAAACATTACAGTAACTTTATCATTTAATCCTTCAGGTCCTGTTGATAAAAATTCTTCAATAAGAAATGAATTCTCAGTATATCACAACAGTAGGCAAAAGCCTAAGAAAGCAAATCAGTTGTCTAAGAATATTGGGGAAAAACCATTCCATCAAAAAGGCAGAAGACAGCTACTCAAGGCACCTCAAGAGTACAGAAGCCTTTAAATGTTGGAGTTCTGAAGGTATTACTGGCTGTGATAAATTTCTGGTTGTTCCAGAATGACCATTGGAAAGTGACAAGGCAGATGTGACTAAGAAGAAAAGTCTTGATGTGCTGGGTAATTTCTGTTATAGTTATTTTTGTTGTATAGCATTTAATAGTTTGTCTATGTTATTTAATCATGGACAGAGTATTATAAAGAGTTCTGTATGCTGACATAGCTGATATTACATGTGAGCTCTGCTATTAGCTGGGTGACACTTAGCAAAGTAGTATTCTGAACTTGTTTCCTCATTTTAAAATGGAGAACAATAGATGGCACATAGAATTGAGAGTGTTAAAGTTGATAATGTTGCCTCAGAGTTGCTTCTTTTTTAAAAAAATTACGGTAAAAGATGTATACTAATCATTTTCAGGTACACAGTTCAAGTTTCTTCCTTTTAAAGTTTAATGTGATTTCAGTAATTAGAACATATCTCAGTACTTTCTCTCTTAAGAAAGCTCATTTTTTATTACTAGGGTTTGTTACTCAGGGCCTCACTATTGCTAAGCGGTGCTCTATCACTTGAATCACTCCCCCAGTTATTTCTTTGCCTTAGTTATTTTTCAGAGGGTCTCTTGTTGTGCCTAGGGCCAGCCTCAGACCATGATTCTCTACCGACTGCCTCCCTCATAGTTGGGATCACAGCATGCCAGGTTATTGATTAAAAAGGAGTTTGCTATCTTTTTGCCCAGACTGACCTCAAACCAGGGTCCCCTTCCCCTGTTCTCTGCCTTCCAAGTAGCTGGGATTACAGGAATTGAGCCACTGTGTCAGGCCAGTTTTTAAGTGCTTACTTGTGCCAAGTATTTGCTAGATGCTTTTCATTCTTTCTCATCAGCCTTGAAACATATTGAGCTAAGTATTATTTTTATGCTTTCTTGATTTTTACTATAGCATGCATTCAACAAATATTTAATACAAAGTATGCTGGGGATGAACTGAAAGAAATGATTAAAAATCTCTGTATGTATGTATGTCATCATGGTACAAAAAAAAAATCCCATAAGCACCCTAAATTTAGATTTTTCATACCATCTTCATATATAATGCTCAGTAGAATTCAGTGGTGAAGCTATCAACCTCACCTTTTCCTTGTAGGTAAATTCATAGATCTTTTAAGATTGTTTATTGCTGAATTAGTTTGTTGTGGTTTTCTAATTTATTTTGGTGGCACTGGGGTTTGAACTCAGAGCTTCGCACTTGCCAAGTAGGCTGTCTACCTCTTGAGCCACACCTCTAGTCCATTTTGCTCTGGTTATTTTGGAGATGAAATCTCTCAGATTATTTGCCGTGCCTGGCCTCCAACCATGATCCTCCTGATCTCAGCCTCCCAAGTAGCTAGGATTATAGGGTGAGTTACCAGTGCCTAACTTCAGTTTTGTGTGTTTTTAGAAATTTTTCCATTTCTTCTAGATTATCTTACTTGTTGGAATACAGTTTTTCATAGTATTCTCTTACAAGTCTCTTTTGTTTTCTTTGACTTTGATGGCAGGATGGAGGAGGAAACTACACCTCCAGAAATAAACTCACAAAAGGAATGGTGTATCTTGTTTGCATATATTTGGGGTAAACTGACCAGTTACCAAAAAGATGAGCTTTATCCCACTGAGGTCCCTACGGGTCCTCTTGAATAGTCCAACTATTTGGATTTCCCAGTGAACTGTGATAGAGTAACAGTGTATCATAGCTACCTACAGGCAGTGTCTCCTAGTGTCCTTTCCTTATCACTCTCATCTTAGACCAGGTTTAAACCCTTTCTCTCAACAGAACGTTTCAAATTAGAAATCTTGCTAGGTAGGTCCTAGAATCAATCTTCTTTCTGAGCTAGTTGTAAGTCTTAGGTTAGGACCTGAGCATGGTGAGCTGACATTTATTATAGGCAACATTATATTGTTCATATACCTACCTGTATATTGTTTTTGGAAGAAATAGGTTTTGAAGACGAATAAACAGTTTTACCCTTTTATTTCCATAGAACTACAGGATACTCTAAAGATCAAGATAGAATTATGACTGCACAAAATGTTCATCTAAAATCTCGTACCAGTGACTATACATGCAAGACACCAACAGTGTCTAATTTGGATTCTGGAAGTCCTAAAGTCTCAGTTTTGGAAGAAAGGTATGCATATATTCTATGGATAATAGGATTTACTCACTGTATTAGCTACCCATTATTGTTTGCTTGGAAACATTTACTGTTTATAGTTTCTGTGGGTCAGAATAGCTTTAGCCTAGGGATTCTTAGAGGTAGTCAAGATGTCCTTTTGTTTTCTACTCTTTGAAGACTTAACTGGAACCAAAGGATCCATTTAAGTCTCACTAACGTGGCTGTTGGCAGGAGGCTACAGTTCTTTGCTGGCTATTGCCATTAGACCTTAATTCCTTGCTGTGGTGCTTCCATACTGCTGCTCAACATGGCAACTGGCTTCACTCAAAGCAAGTGACCTGAGATAAGAAGGTGACTATGATGGTAATCACATTGGCTTTTAATGACCTAATCTCTGAGTTTTATGCTCACTTCCTCTGTGTTCTGTTCATTAGAAACAAGTCACCACAACTCCAGACACCTTCAAGAAGCAGGGAATTAGTCTCTACCTTTTGAAAGGAAGAGTATTAAAGAATTTGTGGATATATCGTTAAAACATTCACTGACGCATTGAGCAAGTAAAGTTAACCTACTTGTATTATATGTGGAGTCGTAAAACCTTTTACAAAAGAAATGAATGTAAAATTATAGAAATTCTCAGACTTTTGGGGGGGTTAGTATTACACAATCTTAGATTCATAATAGGAGGAAAGGGATCTTACACTGGAATAAGTTGAATCATCTCTGCCAATTTATGGACTATGTTTTAAATTCTATTTTTTTGTAGACTGTAGTTTGTTTTAATGAAAATATGCTGATTTTTCATTTTTTCTTATACTTTTTTTTTAATCAAAGAATGTTGTCACTGGGGTTGACTAAGTTTATTATTAACCCATGAGTTAGTTTAAAATAAAGTTATAAAATTTAGCATTTATCATGTTTGACCATCAGTTGTGGGATTAAATTGTAGTCTCTGTTTATTCAGCATGTACATATATTCTTTGATCTATCACATTACTATTATTTTTATAAGAAAGAAACCTATGGCAGTTTCAGGAGAAAAATGATCATTAAATTAGATAAATAGATATGTGTGTTATAAGAATACAAATTTTATGGTTTATTTATTTTTTTCTTAAGTGGTCCTTCTAGGCTCAAGAGTTATTTAATGTCTGGAAAGAATAATTCTGATGTGGATGATGAAGTTAAGGAAAGTTTGGGTAAGTTATTGTTTATTTTCTACTCTTGCTTTTTGTGGCATTGTGGATATGCAGTAAGGTGTGCTATAGGTTTTTTTGTTTGTTTTTAATTTTCACTAATGGCAAATGTATATTGTGAGTACCTATACTTTGAGAGCCTGGCTGTATAGTGAGAGAGGAAAAGAGAACGAAAATTAGTAACAGTTCTTCCTTTTACGTAGAACACAATAAAACATTGGCACGTAATGTTCATAATTCAGTATTTAAAAATTAAAAACTGATAGGATGATACAAAAACTAAGATTGACCAGTCTGTTGGTGGTTACTGAAGGTGGGTGATATATGTCATGGGTTCATTGTACAAATTTTCTCTATTTTGAATAATTTTGAAACAGTCTATATTAAAAAATTTTAAATGCCTTAACAGTTTTATAATTTTTCCATGCTCCTAAAGCATGTAATCTGTTACACTGTTTTTTTTCTATCCTAATTCACTATTTTTTCTCTTTTCAGTTCTTTTTTCCCTTGTCTGTAATTTGTTTTTGTTTTTTTCTGTTAACTCTTAAACACTTTATATATATTTTTTTTACTTTTCATTTGGCAAAGAAGCAATAAGTTTTCCTGAGTACATTTTTGGCTTCATTTTATAGGGATTGTATATAGTATTATTATAATATACGTTTTTTATTGTCAAAATAATGACTCATGTTGAATCGTGCGTGATCTTAAAAAACAAAATGACATGGTTGTAAAATGGGGACTGTTTGTGGATAAATAAAAACAGCAGGAAGGGAGAAAGGAGAGAGCAATGGGGATTTGTGACTGTGATCAAAGTACATTGCACATAATAAAAATAAGAGATGAAATAAACAAACAAAAAAACCATGCAAAGAATCAATGAAACAAAAAGTGATTCTTTGAAAAAATAAACAAGATTGACAGACCCCTAGCAAATGTGACTAAAATGAGGAGAGAAAAACCCAAATCAGTAAAATCAGAAATGCAAAAGGGGAGATAACAACAAACACCACACAAATCCAGGAAATAATCAGAGACTACTTTGAAGACCTATATTCTAATAAATTTGAAAATCTTGAAGAAATGGACAGATTTCTAGATACTTAAGACCATCTAAAATTGAACCAAGAAGACATTGATCACCTGAATAGATCTATAACACAAAATGAAATTGTAGCAGCAATAAAGAGTCTCCCAAAAAAGAAAAGTCTAGGACCTGATGGATTCTCCACTGAATTCTATCAGACCTTTAAAGAAGAATTAATAGAAAGGGAAGGAAAACTGCCTAACTCATTCTATGAAGCCAGTATCACACTCATCCCAAAACCAGACAAAGACACTTCCAAAAAGGAGAACTATAGGCCTATTTCCTTAATGAACATTGATGCAAAAATCCTCAATAAAATAATGGCAAACTGAATTCAACAACACTTCAGAAAGATCATTCACCACGACCAAGTTGGCTTCATCCCAGGAATGCAGGGGTGGTTCAACATATGTAAAGTTGGTACAGGATAGAGCAGGAAACACTCTGGAAGTAATAGGTATAGGCAAGGACTTCCTCAGTAGAACCCCAGCAGCTCAGCAACTAAGAGAAAGAATGGACAAATGGGACTTCATAAAATTAAAAAGCTTCTGCACAACAAAAGAAATGGTCTCTAAACTGAAGAGACCACCCACAGAGTGGGAGAAAATATTTAGCAGCTATACATTAGACAAAGGACTGATAACCAGAATATACAGGGAACTCAAAAAACTAAACTCTCCCAAAATCAATGAACTAATAAAGAAATGGTCAACTGAACAAAACAGAACTTTCTCAAAAGAAATTCAAATGGCCAAAAAACACATGAAAAAATGCTCACCATCTCTAGCCATAAAGGAAATGCAAATCAAAACCACACTAAGATTCCACCTCTTTAGAATAGCCATTATTAAAAATACCACTAACAACAGGTGTTGGTGAGGATGTGTGGAAAAGGAACCCTCATACACTGCTGTTAGGAATGTAAACTAGTGCAACCACTCGAAAAAAATTTGGAGGCTCCTTAAAAATCTAAATGTAGATCTGCTATATGATCCAGCAATCCCACTCCTGGGGATATACCCAAAGGAATGTGACACAGGTTACTCCAGAGGCACCTGCACATCCATGTTTATTGCAGCGCTATTCACAATAGCCAAATTATGGAACAAGCCAAGATGCCCCACTACTGACAAATGGATTAAAAAAATGTGGTATTTATACACAATGGAATTTTACTCAGCCATAAAGAAGAATGAATTGTTATCATTTGCAAGTAAATGGATGGAACTGGAGAACATCATTCTGAGCAAGGTTAGCCAGGCTCAGAAGACCAAAAATCGTATGTTCTCCCTCATACGTGGAGTTTAGATCTATGGCAAATACAGCAATGTTGGGCTTAGGTCACATGATAAGGGGAGAGCACACACGGGAGGTATGAGGATAGGTAAGAAACACAAAATATAATATTTAATGTCCCCACTGCAGAGGAACTAATATAGAAACCTTAAAGTGACAGAGGTCAATATGGGAAGGGAATCAGGAGCTAGTGAAAAGGTCGGAGATGAATCAACTTGGGATGTAACACATTTGTACATGGAAGCAATGCTAGAAACTCTTTGTATAGTTATCCTTATCTCAATTAGCACAAACACTTTGTTTTATTATTGCTTATACTTTCTCTTCAACAAAATTAGAGATAAGGGCAGAACATTTCTGCCTGGAAGCGAGGAGGGTTGGGGAGAAGAGGGAGGGGACAGGGGCAGGGGGAGAGGGGAGAAGTGGCAAGTTCATTGCACGTATGTATGAAAATAGAATAATGAAATCCACTAAATACTGTTAAAAAGGAGGGAAGGTGGAGGGAGATTAGGAAAAAGTAATAGGAGGTGAATTTGAACTACATTATTGATATGTATGTAAATATCACAATGAAACCACTTTGTGCAATTAGTTTATGTTAATAAATTTTTTTGCCATTTTTGTCAAGGAAACTTTTATAGTTTCCTTTTTTGTTGCATTCAATCTAGTTTTGGTGTCATGTCATAATACTGGCTTTATAGAATGAGTTTGGAAGTGTTGCTTCCCTTTGTTTTATGGAATAGTTTGAGGAGCCTTGATGTTAGTTCTTCTTTAAAGGTTTGGGAGAATTCAGCAATGAATTCAGTTGGTCTTGGGCTTCTTTTTTGTTTAGAGACTCTTGCTTCTTAAATCTCATTGTTTGCTAAAAGTTGTGATTAAGTTGGTTATATCCTCTTGGTTCGATTTTGGTAGATCATATGTGTCTATAAATTTTATTTCCTTTAGATTTTTTTAATTTATTGGAGTTTGTTTAAAAATATTCCCTAATAGTTTTCTGTATTTCGTTGGTATCTATTGTGTGATCCAGTTTTCACTTCTTCATTTCATTAATTTTGACCCAGTAGTTCTTCACAAGTATATTATTTAATCTCCATATGCTTATATAGTTTCTCTTGGTATTGATGTCTAAGTTTCTTCAGTACAATCTGATTAGATATAAGAAATAATTTGAAAATTTGTTGTGTTTTTTTATATTTTCTTTTTGGCCTAAAATGTGATCTAGTTTAGAAAAAGTTTCATGGGCTGCTAAGAAAATAACATGCTTTTATGCAGCTATTGGATGGACTGTTCTATAAATACCTGTGAATTCTTTGATCTACGGTGCAGTTTAACTTTGAAGTTTCTTTTTCATTTTTTGGTTTACATGACTATCTATTGATGAGAGTGATACTGAAATGATACACAATTTTTTAGTCTGTATAATTTAATTAATAAATTCGTATTTCACAAAGGTACACTATTTTGTTGACAGCTTGAGAACATTATCGTAAATTTACTTAAGATATAAAATAAAATTTCAGTTAGATCTGGCATTTAATACTATAAAACTTTACACTGGATTAGCTGACATTTATATTAATAAGATGCACTTGAAATAATTGATTCTGACTACCAATGAAATATTATTTTATTGTGCAACCAAGATCTATTGGTTTTACAATGTCTAGTAATCAGTTATTTCACCAATAATTTAAATGACAGAGATGGAATTGAAAAACACTTATTGACATATATGCTTAACAGAATAATTAAAATAAAAAGCACTAGCAACTTTGATTTCTGTTTTCACAAATAGTACAAAAGAAAGTCTGTATTTTTCAGTTAAAATTTGTAAGGCCTGCAGTTTTCTTTTTCCCCCAAGAGAAATAAAACTTACGTGTGTGGGGATTGGGAGTGTGTGTAAAAGTATTTATGCTTAAAAATGATGAGCCCCTACTCAACATTTATTATATTATAAATGAGATTTAACCTTCTACAGCTAACATCTTGCCATTTAAGAGCCAAATTACTAAGACTTACAGAATATTAAAGCTGGAATATCATTAACCAGTAGGGATATTTGAAAAAAAGAACTTTGGTGAATTCACTAAGAAGTACATTGTATCATATAATATGACATAAGTTAATAAAGTATGTATAATATGCTTAGTGTTGATGTGAACAAAATACAGTGAAGTATTCTGAAGCCAGTGATCTGCATTTAACCAAGACTTTACTTTTTTATGTATTTTACCATGGAGTCATTTGAATCTTCATTGTTTTAATAGCACACAGTTTATAAAGATATCCACACTAGTTCTACCATAAAAAATAACTGTAGGCCACAGGGACTTACGGTTTTCATCAGTCTAGGATTCTACATACATGCAAACTGTAGCACTTGTTCACATGATGTAAGGAAATCAAGCAAGGGAGCAAAGCAGCTTACTTTTTACTTGTCCTAAGTAGCCTCACAAAATTAATATATTCTACCTGTTGGAGGTATTTTTAATAAAATGTAGGCAGTGTTCCTAGAAACCCTATCAAGGAAACTTTAATTTTTTGTATAAAAAATGTGCAGGTTTGTCCTATGTGTGAAAGTTTCTTAATTTGGATGCCTTTTTAATCTTTAAAAAAAAAAAAAAAAAACTACTTGCCTACATTAAATGAGTGTAAAAGCTCATCAACAAAATACATATACTAAGATCAAAAGGAATGATTTCCAGTGAGATTAGGAATGAAAACAAGAACAGGTCGAAGGAGAGACTCTGGAGACGAATTTTAAAACATCAGTTGTGCTCACACAGAACTAGCCTGTTAACTATGAAGTGGGATGACCTACAGGGTAGACAGCAACATGCACAAGTGTCACAGCATCACAACTCTGGAACAGAGGGAACCCTAGTGCTGTGAAACATGGGAAGCAACTCCTAAACACCACCAACTGGTATGATTTTTTAGAAGTTGGAGAAAAATGCATTTGAGAAAATAAATTGTTAAATTAACAGAGAAACAACATTTTAAAAAATCAGCATTACAACATTAGGACCATAACAGCTGTGGTCTCCAATGTACCAAGAGAATCTTCACATCAGAATTTAAAAAATATAGTTAAAGGACAGATTAACTGGGCTCTGCATAAAGGTTAAATAGGCACCCACTCCCAACAGAAATGATCTGGTCCTCAGCCACAGTTCTGAGAATATGTTCCAATATTCAATTCTCTGCAGAAAAAAAGTAGCAAAAACGCATAATTTCATTAGCAAAATCCATTTTGTCTTAGACTTAAATTCACTTCTGAGCCACCAAAGTATATATTGTCAACCTGTTTTAGTAGCATTTTAATCTTGCAGTTTTGTTTTTCTCATGCTTATTCTTACTGATTCAAAGGTACATATGTTTTAATTACTAGCTAAATTTACAATACCCATGATATCCTACTCAGAAAACAAACAGTGGTTTCAAAATGTTATGATTGTTCCATCACTTAATTAGAAGGAATAAAACCACTCTGAGTTCAAACCCCCAAGTACCACAAAAACAAACAACAACAAACAAAAGGGAGGATGGAAGGAAGGAAGACTGAGATTAAGGATAATTTCTTATCTTTTTTTATATCCCAAAAGACTTCATGCATAGCAGTAGCAAATACGTAGATGTTAAATGGAAGGATGTGCTTGTAAAGACAAACCCTGTGATATGTTTCTGGGAGAATGTCCATGTCTGTGATAGCAGGCATGGGTCTGAAGTCCTTGGGCATACTAGTGACTATGGCTTTTATGGTCATCAAAGTGTAACACTGATTAAGGCATTTTACTTCTTTATTAGCATATCTGTACCCAAGTTTGTTTTTTCCTACTTTTATATAAAAATCCTAAGCAGCAGATTAGCTGTTGAAATTGCTTTGTGATAATTATCATTGTTATTTATAGGCAGTAAGTCTCCATAGATGTCTGCATAGCCCATTAAACCTTCAGTGTTGTGTTTCTTGTGAACATGCTCTGGTAATCTGAAAACTCCTCATATTTTCCAGGCTTTGGTTTTTCCAGAAAAAAACTGACAGAACTGAGTTCCACACTTGTTCTTTAGCTCCATGATGCCCAGTCAACTGCTGATTGCCTCATGCCAGTGGCTGTGGTTCGTGCTGAGTGCCACACCTGTGGGGTTGGGCTGCCTCTCAGGAGTGCCAAAATAGTCCATTATTATTGTATATGGGACTATCTCTCCCATTATGTCCATTAGTTTTTGTTTTATGAAATTGAGTTTGTCAGTGTTTTATGTATATAAACTTACAATTATTATATCTTTTTTGAATTATTTAGTTTATTAATATACAGTGACATATATCTTCTGACTAATTTTGGCTTGAAGTCTTTCCATTTGCTTAGTATTTCATTCTTTGTTTTTGCTTTTCAGTCTGTGTGTGTTTTTCACACTGAGGCGTGTCACAGAAAACAAAGTTGGATTTTTAAAAATCTAATCAGTCAGTTTGCGTCTTCAATTGGAGAGTTAAGACCATTTACATTTAGTGTTGTTATTGAGTGGTGTTTGCTGATTTCCTGTAACTTTGTTGGGTTTTGGCCTGGTTGGTTCAAGTATTACTTATTCTTTTCTTTCTCCTTTACTCATCTTAGGACTTTGGTGACTCACTGAGTTGAACATGTTTGATTATTTACTAATTCTCATTTGTTCCTCTTAGGAAATTTATTCTTTTCCTGTACTCTGTGACTGTCTTTCTTACTCATCTGTATGTAGGATTCCTTTAAGTATCTTCTGTGGCTTACTTTCTGGAGGGGATGTGATGATAGGTAATATATATTTTTTACTTTATCTGTCAGTAATTTTTCTTCAATAAATGTGTTTAACATTTACATTTACTGTTGACAAATATGCTTGCTACTGTGTAAGGCTGGTCGACATTCTCACATATGCTAGCTAGCATGGACTCAGGATCTTTTTTGTTTTTAAATCAGTCTTGAGACATGATCTTTTTTGCATTAAACTACCTGAGTATTTCTTTTTGACTTTATGATAGGTAGTACTTTGTATAAGCAGACTTGTTTTTGAGGGGGGTGGAACTGGGGTTTGAACTCAGGGCTTTGTGCTTGTAAAGCAGGCTCTCTACCACGTAAGCCACATCTCCAGTCCTTATAAGTAGAAATTTGCAGGCAGTCTAATTTCTTTTTTCCTTTATTGATAACCTGTTTCATTCCATCTTTGTACATGTTAGGATTCTTTAAACTTAGAAATTCAGCAGTTATCTCTGTGTTCTTCCACATGGCCTTTCTACTTGGCCATCTTGTGTTAATCAGTCTTCACATGCTAATGTCTTCCCCCAAGTGAAATCTCCAGTGGAACCTGAATATCTTATTGGGACCTAGGATGTAGCTTTCAAAGTCCCACAAAGTCATTTTTGTTAAGTCACTAAGGGCAGTAGAAACTTTAGAAAGAAATGAGACGCTGCATCATAATAAAGAACACTTGTATAGCCAGGTACTGGTGGCTCATGCTGGTAATCTAGCTACTCAGGAGGCAGAGATCAGGAGGATTTTGGTTTAAAGTCAGCCCCAGGAAAATAGTTTGGGAGACCCTATCTTGAAAAAGCCCATCATAAAAAAGGACTGGCGGAGTGGCGCAAGTAGTACAGCAACTACCTGGTAAGCATGAGGCCTTGAGTTCAAACTCCAGTACCATCAAAACAAACAAACAAAAAAAAACAAAACAAAAAACCCTTCAAAACTCCCCCAAAACACATTTGTGCATAGCAAGGAAAAGAATTGATGGCAGCTATCTTTAGATGCTATTCATAAGACTTAAAGTTGAGAATCTCTGAGCACTTTAGTTCACTTCTAAAATCAGTACATTTTTACTATGTTAGAACTTTAAGGAGAAAGTTGCACATAGCCCCTAGATTGTGTTATTAACATATTATTCATTTATTATAGTGCCCTGTACTTTTGTCCATTAGTGACTTATTTCCTGTTTATGAGCAGTAGAACTTTGTCTTCTCTTTGTAATTTTTACTGTTATGCTGTTTAAATTATAGTCGTAGCAAAGTCTAGAGAAATGTTACACAGTTTTTCTTTAGTGTTCATTCCTTTACAGTAACAACAAAAGGGTAACACACTGTTAATTCAATGTGTAGTTAACAGCCATTACTCATAATACTATCTTTTTACAGATGGTTCAACAGTAAAAAGATCTAAAATGGCACCAGATAAGAAAATACATCACAAATTAGGTAAGATAATTTTCTTTTGCAATATTCCCTACCCACTCTGCCTCCTCCTCCATTTTTCCTTCTCCTTCCCTTCCACCCGCTTTCACTTTCCCTCATCCCTCCCTCCCTCCCCTCTCCTCTTTTTCTTTTTGAATTTTGTGGGCTGCAGGATGAAATCAGGTCCTTGCGTATCCTAGGCAAGTGCTCTAACACTTGAGCCACATCCATAGACCTTTTGCTTTTGGTTTGTTTTTTGGATAGGCTTTTTTACTCTTGCTGAGATTGGCCTCTAGCAGCAGTTCTACCTTCACCTCCTGAGTAGCTGGGATTACAGGTGTGCATCACCATGTCTGTCCTAGTCATTGCTTTTTTGAGACAGAGTTTCAATATGTACCTCAAACTGGCCTGGAACTCACTGTGTTATCCAGGTTGGCTTTCAAACTTGTGATCCTCCCGTCTCCACCTCTGAAGAGCTGGGATTACAAGTATACACCACCATGCCCAGAATCACTTAACTACTATTAAGTAATTACTATTATTTGTACAAATTTGTAGATAAATTAAAATTTCATATTTAGTTCTCTTGAATTTCCCATAAGTCATCAATAAGCCACTGAATTAGTCTATTATCTATTTATAAGTCCTGTAGCCCTCTCACTGCTTGCCTCATAGTCTGTAGGGATCTTTGATCCCATCTAATTGAAGAAGCTAGGATAGAGAATTATAACAAAGAAATAACTGCTAGTAGATGATGTTCCTAACAATTTATTCTCCCACTTTTATCCAGTTTACTTCTAAATAGAGCAGTAACTAGAATGGTAAGTAAGCAAAGCTGTGGAACCCATGAAAAAGCCCCTTATGAGATTAAAAATCCATGGTTTCTCAAAATATACTTGCTGGGGCCTGGGATGGCGGAATGGCTTAAGTGGTAGAGCTGTCTGGCTAAGAATGAGACCCTGGTTTCAAACCTCAGTACTGCAAAAAAAAAAAAAAAAAAGGTATTATGGGGCCTACCACCTTTGTGTGATGTTGGAGTGACTTTCTATGTTATCTAGAAAACTGTATATAAAATTATTTTGTAATCATAGGAGTGACATCCCCCCCATCATTATTGATAGTCTTTAAGTTTTTAAAACCTTTTTCTTTATTATTAGCATACACTGTACAAAATAAAGGGTTTTATAACATTTTCATATTTGGTCATATTCAGCCTCCTGTTATCCTCTCTTCTCCCTCCTGCTGGTCCTCTTGCTCTTCCCAAATAGTCCTCTTTCCACTTTCATATCTTTCTTTTTAAATTAAAAAAAAAAAATCTTTTTTTTTTTTTTTTTTACTGTTGTGGTGGCTGGGGGTATGTTGTGGTATTTACATAAGTTCTTACAATATGTCAAATATATTATACTTGAATTCACCCCCTCCACCATTCTCCTATATTCCCCCTTCTCCATTCCTAGAATAGTTTCAGCAGGTATTATTTTTGCATTTATATACATGTGTACACAGTATTTGCACCATATTCACCCTCTCCCTTTCCCCACCTCCTCCCTCCCGCTAGTACCAACCCCCAGACAGGAACTGTTCTGCCCTCCTGTTCTCCGATTTTGTGAAAGAAAAAGAAATGACATTTTTGTTTGTTTAAGATAGCTACCCAGGGAGTTTCCTCATAACATTTCCATGTATATATGTATTATAACCCAAATTGGTTCATCTCTATTTTTCTTCTTTCTACTTTAGTCCTCTTATGGTTTTTTCAACAGGTTTAAAAATTCTATCTTCATTCTTGTATAGAGAGTACATCAGCCATATTCGTCTTCTTAATTCCTATGTTCATAATATTGCTGTATTTGTATTAGGTCTGTGTTCCACATGTAAGAGAAAACATAGGGCTTTTGGCCTTCTGAACATGGTTAACTTCACTTAAGATGATGTTCTCCAGTTCCATCCATTTACCTGCAAATGACAAAATTTCATTCTTCATGGCCAAATAAAATTCCATTGTATATAAACACCACATTTTCTTAATTCATTCGTCAGTAGTGGGGCATCTTAGCTGTTTCTGTAGCTTAGCTATTGTGAATAATGCTGCAGTAAACACGGGTATACAGGTGCCTTTGTTGTTACTTAATATTCCTTTTGGTAAATCCTTAGCAGTAATTCTGCATGAGAGAAACATGCAATATTTGTCTTAGTCTGGCTTACTTCACTTAACTAATTATGGAGAAATAAGCTTGACTTTTGGGTGTCAGGAATGGGAATGTAGCCAGTATTAGAAAGAAAAAGCACAGCAAATCTTTGAAATGACCAAAGGAAGAAGGAAGAAATGAAATGGTCAATTAAACCAAACAAAAGTGAAGAGAAAGAAGAAGGATTGGTGTAAAATAACTAGTAAATATAAAGTGAGATGAATAAAAGGAAACATGTTGTTACATTGAATAAATGTGAATGTACTGAATTCCTCTAATTAGTTAGACACTACTGAATTTGATTAAATAATACAAACTAATCTATATATATAAAAAAGCACTTAAGTTTTCTTTCAAATAAAAGATTGTGGACCTGGAAGTATAGTGTAGTGGTAGAGCATTTTCCTAGCGCAAGAGAGGCCCTGGGTTCTATCCCCAGCACCACAGAAAGATCTCGTGTGTGTGTGTGTGTGTGTGTGTGTGTATAAAAGATTGTCAAAGAATTAGGTATGCTAATGCACACAAAAAGAAAATATTAGGCAATTTTGAGCAAATTAAAATTTAAGGTTAAACTGGTAAGGACATATAATGATAAAATAAGCAATGTATGAAGAAGATAGAAACATCGTATACTCTTCTGCACTTAACCTAGCAGCTAACATGCATAAAGAAAAAAATGAATAGAAAAAAAGACTTTTTTCATTTAAACAGGATAATTATAATGGAGATCTTAACCACTGTCAGAATTAGATCGCTTTAGCAAATAAAAAAATAGATAAGGACATAGGAATTTGATAACAAAAACTACTTAATGTATGGAACGTAGCATCGTTCAGATGACAGTGCCTTTAACATTGTCAGTCCTGGGTATTATCAGATTCTTATGTCTTAGCCAAACTAGAAGCCTAATTTTTCACTAGCTTTTATTTAATTATTAGCACAGATTTGTCTTTTATTTTTTTTTTCTTTGTACTACTCAGGGCCTCACACCAGGATGGCAATTCTCCTACACATCCCTTCCTATAGCATGGATAACAGGCACATACCACCAAGCCCAGCCACTGGTTGAGGTGGAGTATTGCAAACTTTTTGCCCAGAGTAGCCTTAAATCAGAATCTTCTCAATCTCCACCTCCCTAGTGGCTAGGGTTACAGGCCTGAAGCACTGCTCTTGTATAGCACAAATATTTCATAAAATTTTGGTTTTCTAGACTTTTGTCTAGAAGCATTCGTGATCTAAAAGATAATATGAATCTTTTCACTTGTTTTCATTTGAGTGAAAGTTGATATGTGTACATTTTTGTCTAAAATCTTTTTACAGTATTGCCCTCCAACACACCAAATGTTCGCAGGAGCAAGAGAGTACGTTTGAAACCTTTGGAATACTGGCGAGGGGAGCGAATAGATTATCAAGAAAAGTCATCAGGTAAAACCTAATGTAGACTGCAGTATTTCTTGTCTCAATAAAAATAATAAAGTTTTCCATAACTTATTTTTATCAGATGCCAGGCACTGTCTTACACATGTAATTATCACCCTCAAAAATGTAAGAATAGGACTCAAATCTAGATTTGTGTGATTGACAAACTAGTTTTTGTCCCTTTGGGAGCTATTTGACTGTGTGACTTTGTAGAATTTTGTTATTTTAATGTTATCTGGCAGATTTTAATTTCATAAAACATTAGGTTAGCACATGAGGAAATTATATTTGCTAAAGGTATTTCCTATTATTATCAACCATTTTCTCAAATTTTTCTACAAAATGATAGCAAGTAGACAAGGAACTATAGTTTTATCTTAAAATTATTTCTTTTGATAGATATGTAGCTAAGTCAGAGAATATTCACATGTGACTCACAATTTATGGCTCATTACTAACTTCTGGTTTTTCTTTTTTAACCTTCCACTCATGCCTATTGATAACAAGCAGGTAGCAGATCAGTCATGTTTCATTATGCTTCTAGAATGAGTGGTAGAGAAACAAGTGAAATTGGTTAGTGGCTGGCTATGTTTTGAGCTACTTAGCTGTAGAGTATAATAACAGTAATATTTTCCTTGATGCTTTGATAGAAAATATGATATATTTAAAGAGTTTTGTTCCCATCTTTTCACTTCTCCAGGTATGATGTTTTTATCTTTATGTTGTTGTTTCTGTTAAATTTCAGGAGGAGTTGTAATTGGTGGAATACTATCACCAGTCACAGTATCATCTAAAAGGAAAGCAAAAGGAAACATGAGGAAAGTCAACAAAATAGCTAATAGGAAAAGGATCTGTCTTGACAATGATGAGAGAAGTAAGAAGTTATTCCTGAAAACAACTTTTAATTTTTATTTTAAATAACATAGTACTTTAGAAAAAATCTCTTTGCAAAATTTGAAATTTTCTCCTAAAAACATCAGACATAATGCTGTATAGTTAAATTCACTATTTAATGTTCACTTTTCCCCCCAAAATTTTGAAAGTAGGATAATTTTATTCTTAGAAAATTATCACTAATAGTATGGTATAAAACATTTCTTCATGAGTAAATTACCCAGTCAGATGAAGCTTTCCACACTATAGTTACAAAAGACATTTTAATGAATTCTTTCTAAAGATTATTGTGCAATTCCAGATATTTTAGGAACTAATGTAAAAATTCATTTACCTTTAGCATTGTATGAGTTTTGGTAGACGTGTTATAATGAGTGTACAGAAAATACGAAGTTTAGGATGTTTGCTTCTACATTAAATCAATGGGGGTTTTTTAATTTGAATATTTGTTTATTAGAGTGGTAATTTATGAACAGGAAGAGACATCTCTGGCAGTTTTCTTTTAAAATTTGTCTATATCTGTATTTTGTACTGGCCTTTGTTTTTTTATAACTGAGAAAATTTTAAATAAGTAGTTTGTATTTCAGTGGTATTTCTTTTGCAGAGAATAGATTAGTGGTAAATATGGATATACCTCTAGGAGATCCTTTGCAACCAACGCAGGTAAAGGACCCAGAAACAAGAGAGATTATCCTCATGGGTAAGATCAGGAATGATACTAAAAATACTTAATTTAATGAGAACAAACTGTTGGGTTGATGATCAGCCTGCCTACTTATTCTTTCTCCATTCTTTTAGCACTAACATCTAATTCCAATTAGCAGCCTGTACAAAGATAACTCTGGGGGTATTGATGCCAGGAAACCTCTAGGGATATACTGTATCATGCATTTGTCTTCTAGAGTACAAATGCTAGCACTGCCATCAAGTATGTTATGTCACCCAACAGAGTGTAGGTCTTCTTTGATACATGAGAGAGGGGACTGTTTATGGAAAATTATAGCAAGTTAGTAACAGACCCCAGGATACACTTTTAGTGTGGCATGGATTATGGGCAGGACCAACCAGTTTGTTTTTTGTTTTTTGTTTTTATTTTAACCTTTGGATGCTAATAAGGGTATTTGGGACAACAAACATTTGTGAGGATGGCTATCAAGGGTATCAATGAGCCATACAAATGCCAGCCTTAATCTTAAGCCTGTACAAAGTCCTAGAAGCCTCCTGCTGTATTATAGGCCTGAACATACAGTTTGTAGGAGGCTGTAGCGGTCCCAAGAGGTGGATTATAGGAGATGGGAGTGTAGAGAATACTGAGGTATTTACTAACCAGGCAATATTTGCAAATAGGAAATATATAAACATCTTAACACCGTTAATACTGATGACTATTTGTCCTAAGTCAGAGGACAAATCAGGAAAGTAGTAGTGATATTCCTGCTTAAAAATTTGGTTATGAAGTAGGCGTCTTGATGTAAGTTAATATTTTAATGAAGTTATTTCTACATTGAGATTACTTACTTAACAGATGTACAGGTAAAGAGAGTTTTGTTTAGTGTAAAAAACATTGCTGGAGCTCTACCAGATTAGAAAAGTTGTCAGTGTTCACTTTCTGTCTGTTTTTTAAATCTGTGAATTTTCTGTATTGTGTAATCTGTGGGATCACTAACACTCCCATGTATTCAAGAAAATAAAACCAAGCTGGGTGCCAGTGGTTCATGCCTGTAGCCCTAATTACTCAGGAAGCAGAGATCAGGAGGATTGAGGTTCAAATAGTTTGTCAGACCCTATCTTGAAAAAGCCCATCACGAAAAAGGGCGGGTAGAGTGGCTCAAGGTGTAGGCCCTGAGTTGAAACCCCAGTATTGCAAAGTAAATGAATGAATGAATCAATGAATGAATAAATAAAACCAGAAGTGATGATTAAAAGGGTATTAATTAAGTCTGGGAAGGTTTGTAAGTAAAAGGGAAACTTCTGAAAGATAGTGAGCAAGAGATAGAACTCTGATTTCATGTAACTTTTACATGGTTAAATAAAAATATTGTTATTTAATTATCAAGTGATGAAAAAAATCTGTTGTCATGGTGATGATACATTTGTATTGAGGGTTTTAAACTTTTTAAAGAAATGGAGCTTGTTTAGCTGATTTTATTTTCCATTTTAGCCACAATAGAAATAATGATAATATTATTATGACTAAGACTAATAATGGTGCTTTCCTTGAGTCAAGCATTGTTTTAAATAGTTTGCACACATTAACTCTTTGATATTCACAGCAGGTCATTATTATAGATTATTATTTTTGCAGAAAAGGAAATTGTGGCACAGCAAGTGGAGTGGGTAGGGAAGCATGCATAAGCTCATGTGCATTCATGGGCCCTTAAGTAGCTTTCCTAAGGTCATGCAACCTGTGGGACAGAGGTAAGATTTGACCTCTGGCATTCCAGCTCCAGAACCAGTAGTCATCAATGGTTTTAATGTCTTTCTTTCTAAGGCAGATTTTATGTCCAGAAATAACTCTTTGGGGGTTGACTTCAGCGCCTTATATTTGCTAGGCAAGGGCCGTACTACTTGATCCACACCCCAGTCCTAGAAATAACTCTTTATTGTATAAATGTGTGCATAATTATATCATTGAGCAGCATCATTGCTAGTGATTTATATTTGTATTACTGTTTTCCTCTAGATCTTGTAAGGCCACGAGATACATACCAATTTTTTGTCGAGCATGGTAAATTGAAAGTATATAAAACATTGGACACACCCTTTTTTTCTACTGGTACATTGATATTAGGACCCTTTGAAGAAAAGGGAAAGCAGCATGTTGGCCAAGATATATTGGTGAGTATATTTCTCCATTTATTTCTGGGTTGCTATAGGTAGAATTCTGATTTATTGGATTTGATGAGTCATTAAAATGCCATTTCCTTTGGAATGAAATCCAATACTATACTGCATGGAATGAAATCATACTATACTGCATGGAAATTATTTCTTAAATATGGAGTCAACCAGCCAACGGTTATTTATAAATACTTGTTCTGTGCATATTTGCCCAGGTTCTCCTCAAATGCCAATCCTTCTTGGCCTCCTAAGTAGCTAGGATTACAGGCGTGAGCCACCACCTCCTGGGTATTTGTGGCTCTTAACATGAATCCTAATTCAAACAAATCCTTGAAAATATTTGTTTAAAAGACAATTAAGAATTTGAATATTGACTGGGTATTTGATATGAAATACTCATTTATTTTAAGTATTATAACAATGTTGTGATTGTAGGAATTCTAGTTTTGTGTTTCAAATTATTTATATAATATAAATATTTAAATCATTTTTATTGTAATTTATTGTATTTTATTTTTTATCTGTCTGTGCTCTCATCAAATACCAGATCTACCAGCACTTAGATTTTAGCCTTTGCAGCCCCCCAAAACTGTGAGAAATAAATGGATGGGGTTTGGTTTTTTTTTTTTTTTTGGCTGTACTAGCCTAGGCAAGCACACTACCATGTGAGACTTCCCTACCCTCAGCCCTTTTTTCAATTGTTATTTTTTGGATAGGGTCTTGCATTTTTACCCATGGCTGGCCTTGGACTGCAATTCTCCTACCTATGCTTCCCCAGGAGTCTCACTAAGTTTTCTTTTGTTTTTGTTTTTGTTTTTTGTGCCCAAGCTGGCCTCAAACTGTGATCCTCTCAATCTCTGCCTCCTGAATAACTGGGATTTCAGTAGTTATTTGCCACCATGGCCAGGCCAGCCCTAATTATTTGTCCTTTAAGCCACTAGCCAATGGTATAGACATCTGTGAAGAATATTTTTGCCTCAGGTATTAATTCCTCTACCTTCTTTATGTTTTTTTTTTTTTTTTAACTACTTTAAAAATAAGTGCTCAGTGGGGTTTGAACTCTGGACCTCATGCTTGCTAGGTAGGAGCTCTATCACTTGAGCCACTCAGCAGCCATTTTTTTGTGTTGGGTATTTTCATGATAGAGTCCCTGAACTGTTTGCCCTGGCTAGTCTCAAACTGAGATGCTCCTGATCTCTGCCTCCTGAGTAGCCACTGGTGCCTGACTTAATAGCTTTTTGAAATGTAACAAGGTACTGGTAGATTTGTTGTTGGTGAGGACACATTTCCTGACTCGCAGAAGGTTGTGTTCTTGTGTCCTTACATGGAGGAGGACTGGTGGGGGCCGGGGTATGGAGAGAGGGAAGAAGAGAGAGAGAATGAAGAAACTTTTGGTGTCACTTATAAAGGAACTGATTCTATCCGTGGTCTTTCCATACTCGTGGCCAAATTACCTCCCAAAACCCTGACTTCTTGATACCATCACATTGGGGTTTAAGATTTCAAAATAAAATTTTGATGGCAGACAAACAATCTGTAACTGGCCAGATCTCAAAGTGCGAAGGCTGAATACTCATTTTGGTTATTCCTAAAATAGATGACTTGTCATTATGCTACCTATGAATAAATTGTGAAATTTGCCACATTTGTACTAGATGCCAATAGTTCTGAAAGTTAGATATGTCTTGTTTTCCTTAACCTTGATGTTTGTTTAAATATATGGCTTTTTTTTCCTGTGGAAGGGATATTTGGCCTTTTCCCTTTGATTCATTAATCAAATTAAGTAGTTTTTTTTTTTTTGTCTAAAACATATAAACTTTAAAAGAGTCATATATAAAACAGGTATTTTCTAGTAAAATGGTAGCATTAAGTGGTCCTGAATTTTCATAAGTCAGTAATGAAAAAAGAACAAAAGACATTTCTTTATTAGTTTTCTCTTGCTGTCCTAACAAATCACCACAAATTTAGTGGGTTAAAACAATACCCTTTAATTATCTCAGTTTTATAGGTTAGAAGTCATGTAGGCTTGGTCTTGGTACTGTGCTTAGACTCACGGGCTGGAATCAGGATGTTGGCAGGTCTATATTTTGAGAATGAACTGTTTCCATTTTGTCCCAGTTTATTCATATTTGCAGAATTTCGTTTCATGTAATTGTAGGACTAAGGTTCTCATTAAATCACTGCAGCTTCCAGAAATAATCTGTGTTCCTTGGCTCTTTACTACCAACAACTGTAATGTCCTTGTGTGCTTCACATTTTCTTTTTCTGCCTTTAGAAGAAAGTTCTCTTTGTTAGGGGAAAAGGGGCAGTTCTGGGGTTAGAACTCAGGGCTTCATGCTTACTAGGCAGGCGCTCTACCACTTGCATCTCTCCATCAGCCCTTTTTCCGTGTTGGGTATTTTTGAGATATGGTCTCTCAAAACTATTTACCTGGGGCTGGCCTCAAATTGTGATCCTCCTGATCTCTGTCTTTCAAATAAAGTTCTTCATTTTTAAGGTTCATGTGATTAGATTAAACTCGTATTATTAAGGATAATCTCTTTATCTGCAGGTCCTGTTTGCCACGTAATATAACATAAAATTTACAGGTTCTGGAGTTAAGAACCTGTAGACTTCCATGGGGAGTCATCATTTTGCCTACTGCATTTTCTTTAAGGGTATTTGGCTTGTAATTGTTGTGATTCAGTTTCAAATGAGATTTTTATTTTTAATTTTATAGGTTTTTTACGTCAACTTTGGTGACCTTTTGTGTACCTTACATGAAACAACTTATATAATAACCACTGGGGATTCATTTTATGTTCCTTCAGGTAAGAATAACTAGATATTTTATTTCATGTAGTTGATGATGTAGACCGTGAAAATTGAAGCCACAGTGGTCTAAATAAAGTACTATATGATGGATGCCAGAATGGTTTGTTACATATTTTCCTTTCATTTTATCATTAGATAAGTACATTATTGTTATAAGAAATATTGTTGAACATAAAAATATTAGATAGAAAATATCTTGCATTGTATGATATGTTCTAAGACATGTGTAGTCAATTTTAATGGATTATTTTAAACATATAGATCATGTACTACTGAAGAACATAAGTCATTGGAAATAGGCATTTTAATTCATTTACTTATTTATTCATTCATTCATTCAATGAATATGAGTAAGAGTTTACTGTGGTCATTCATGTCTCTAAGTGAACAAAACAGGGAGAAATCCTTTATACTTAATCTTACTTTCTAATGAAAGCACTAATAGTAGCTATATTTATATATGTGCTAGTAGTGTTGTGAATACTTTATTAACTCAAATTTTGATATATATCAGTTTCTAATATATAGAAAGTCATAGTGATAGTAATCACTGCTAATAAATACATCATATGTGACCCTATCCATCTGTATTTCACTTTTGCTCTTACTTATTAGCTCATCTATTGTTAAGAGTAGCTTTTGCCTTTTTAAACCTTTGAGATTGTGTTTTACTTAAAGTTGTAAAACTTTTTATACTTAACCTATGTATGTGTATGTCTAGTTTAGGGAATTCCACAGCAGTTCCGAATACCTCATAAAGATTAGTTTCAGGGTTGGGGGTGTGACTCAAATGGTAGAGCACCTGCCTAGTAAGCATTAGGCCCTGAGTTGGAAAAAAAAAAAAAAAAAAAGCTTCAGAAAGATTTTCCCTTCCTGCATGTATGTCCAACTTATATCTGCATTTGTTATGGGATGTGTGAAATTCACATTGTTTTAAAGCCTTATCTGGATCAATTGGTGGTGAACTCTTGGATCTTTCCGTTCCTAGAATTAAATGAAAATTACTTTCAGTTAGGATGATTGTTTTTAATTTGTGTTATATCCTGTAATGCTCAGGTGATAACTAAATACGTAAAAGGAAATGACTGGCATAGAAATAATTTTATTTTCTTATCATTTTACTTTCAGGTAATTATTACAACATCAAAAACCTCCTGAACAAAGAAAGTGTTCTTCTTTTTACTCAAATAAAGAGATGAAGGATGAAAGTTTAAATACGTTTGTGTGTGTGTGTATACATATATATTTATGTATGTATATATATATGCAGACACATGTATATACACGTATATATACGTGTTGCGTATGACAGTTTGTATATTTCTGACATTTTTGTAATTGTGATATTTTAAAAATAAAATTTTATTTAGTTTTGTGTAAATTTGTATTAAATACTGCATACTTGAGTAAACATTTCATACTTCCACATTTCTTTTCTAATTTTTCCATGAATACACACATTGCTATTGTGATGTCCACATTCATGATGTCATTTTAATAACATGAAAAGAGTACCAAAATCACTGTTCCCACAATGAATGTAGGACACATCTTTGGAACAAGACAGCTAGTCTTTCAAAATAATCTGCTCCAAATATTAGTTTTAAATCAGATAGTGGAGGCCCATGATAAATGTGTATCTGTATTGGTTTCCTAGGGCTTCTGCAACAAAATATTGCACAAACTGAGTGACTTAAAGCACGTTTTTGTTTCAGTTTTGGAGGCTAGAATTTTGAAATCATGATGTCTTTAGGTCAGTGATGTCTTGGAAACCTGCAGAAGAGAATCTTTGTTTCCTTACTTTCTTCTGGTTTCTGGTGGTTTGCTGGCACAATCTTTGGTATTCCTTGGCTTGGACTATGCTTCAATCCCTGCCTCCCTTGTCAAGTGATGTGCCCATCTCAACTGTCTGTCTTCACATGACATTCTGCTTATCTATTACATACAAACTTTTTCCGTCATGTTTCTCTCCATGTTTTCTGTTAGAGGTTTGTTACCCTTTTCCACCGTTTTCTGCATATGGCTTCTTTCTCCCTTTTAATATTAAAAGGGTAATAAGTCTAGTTTTGATTGTTTTGGTATAAATATAATTATCACCAGCTTTTAAAAAGTTCATGTTTTATGGTAAATTATATTTACATCAGCCTTTTTTTCAGATCTCTTACTTGACAGTTAATATACTCCTTCAAAACAGTTTTGGAAGGTGAAGCTTTAGAGGAACAAGATACTACATTTTTTTTTATTCAGTGCTTTTTTTTATAGTTTGTCTTTTCATAAAAAATGCACAATTATTTCTCTACACAGTGACCAGTTTATTGTCAAGCAATCAGTTCCATAGGAATAAATATAATATAGATGTGATTTCTGTTTATGCATTTCATTGTCTGCTTATATTATCTATCGGTTTTCTTCTACCACATTATTTCAGGTAGACATTTTCTTTTGCATAGTCTAGTAACATTACTGATAGGTCTCCCTGTAGAGTGGTTATTGCTACAGTATAAATAATATTTAGGGTCCATTTTTAAAGGGAAAACCTTAAGTATTACTTGGTTACTTTGACTTCAGTAATTTTCTTCATTATAACAACTCAAATATAAGGCATAAAGTAAGAACTTAATCTATATTGATTATGTTAATACCAAGTTTAACATAATTTCTTTGTCATAAAGGTTTCTCAAAATTACAAATGGTATACTTTATATAATAAGCCTAAATACAAGGGCTTAAAATATTTTTTCAAATCTTTACTGAGTCCTTTGTCAGATGCCTATTTTATAATACTATTAAGTCATCATTAGGGTGGACTTTGAATTAAAGTAAGAATTTAGTTTCTTATTAATTATACAAAATGATAGGTTTCATTCTGACATTTTCATACTTACATAATTCTACACTTCAATCATCTTCACGGCCCCATTACCCTCTCTGGTTTCCCTTCTCCATAATAGTCCCACTTCTACTTTCATGTCTTTCATTTTTAAATCTAGATTCCACATGAGAAAAAACATGCAATATTTGTCTTACTGATTCTAGTTAATTTTGCTTAACATTGTTATCTGAAGTTTCATTTGTTTTCCTGAAAGTGACATAATTTTGTTGTTTTTATGGTTGGGCAATATTCCGCCTTGTATATGTAGCACATTTTCTTTATTCATTTGGTGATGGATACCTAGGCTGGTTTCCATGCCTTAACTATTGTGAATAGTTCCCAAATAAACTTGAGTGAGAGTGTAAGTATCTCTGTTGTACAGTGATTTTGATTCTTTCAGGTATGTATCCAGGAGTGGTATAGCAGGATCATTTTTTAAGGTTTTTGGGGGAATCTCCTCCATGCTGACTTCCAAGTAGGTGGACTAGTATGTATTTGCATCAGTCTCCACCCCACCCCCTCCATGTTAGGTATTAAGCCCAGGGCCTCACACCTGTTAAATAATTCACATTGCCACTTGAGCTTAGCTCCCAGCCCTTTGTTTTCTTGAAGATAACCATTCAGACTGGGGTGAGAGAATCTTTTAAGTTTTATTTTTTTTTTATGAGGTTGGGTGGGGTACATTGTGGCATTTACAATAATCAAATGTAGTTAAATTCATCTCGACCATTCTCCTATACCCCTCCTTACCCCCATTCCTGGAACAGTTTCAACAGGTATTATTTTTCCACTTACATATGTGTGTACACAATATTTGCACCATGTTCACCCCCCTACACTCCTTTCCCCACCTGTGAGATAGACTTAATCTAATTTTCACTTGCATGTCCTTTATGGGTAAGTATGTTGAACATTTTTTTCATGTATTTATTGGCCGTTGGTACTGCATCAGTTGAAAATTAACTTCCATTCCTATTTGTCCATTTATTGATTGGATTATTATTTTTTCTGTGTTTAATTTTGTGAGAGGCACACTGGGATTTGAACTCGGGGCCTTGTGTTTCCTAGGGAACTGCTCTTCCACTTGAGTGATACCTGCAGCCCTCAGTTTTTAAAATTCTGGATATATTCTGGATATTAAAATTTGTATTAGCATAAATTAATTGTATAAAGGGTTTTCCTTGTGATAGTTACATACATGCATATAACATACTTTGATCAAATTTACTTCACATACTAATCTCTTAACCACCTTCTACCTCCCCCTCTTAACAGATTTTCATGGGTTTCATTATGCTATATTCATACATATGTACAATGTACCTTGATCACATTCACCCCATTACCACCCTCTTCCTTCTGCCCCCCACTCCCTCTGATTCTCCCAGACTGCCCTCCATTTACAATTATGTAGTAATATTAATAATATTTAGGTCTAGATTCTGCATATTAGCAAAAACATTGTGATACATGTTTTATTGATCCTGGCTATCTCAGTCAACATGATCTCCAGTTCCATCCATTTTCCTGTAAGCATAATTTCCTTCTCTTGCTGCATAGTACTCCATTGTGTATAGGTACCACACTTTTTTCCCCCATTCATCAGTGGATATCCAGTTTTCCAACCCTATTTGCTGAAGAAGCTTATCTTTTATTGGGACTCAGAGGGTTGAGGTTGCACAGACTTATTTCTGGGTCCTCTGTTTTATACCACTGGTGTACATGTTGGTTTTTGTTCCAATACCTTGCTGTTTTCATTACTGTGGCTCAATAGTATATTTTGAAGTATTGCAATACCTCCAGCATTGCTCATTTTACTCAAAATTGCTTTGGCTACTGGGGCTTTATATGCTTCCATATAAATTTTACAATTTTTTTTTCTATTTCTGTGAAGAATGTCATGGGAATTTTGATGGCATTGCATTGAATCTGTAGATTGCTTTTGATAACATTTTCATAATATTCTGCCAATCCATGAACATAGGAAGTCTTCACCTTCTAGTGTCATCCTGAGGTTGTGTCTTCTGTGTTTTATAGTTTTCGTTGTAAGGTCTTTCACCTTCTTGGTTAAGTGTATTCTAAGGTTTCTTTTCTTTTTTGAGGCTTATTGGCATTGGCATTGTCTTCATAGCATTTTTGTGATTGGTATATTGAAAAACTACTGACTTGTTTGTTGGTTTTGAATCCTACTTACTGAAAATATTAGAGTTTTTTGGTGGAGGATTAAATATAGGATCATAGTTGTCTGCAAATTGGGTAATTTGACTTCTTCCTTTCCTATTATATCCCTTATATTTCTTTCTCTTGCTTTATTGTTATGGCTGAGAATTCAGGTGCTATGTTGAATAAGAGTAAAGAGTGGACCTTCGTGATTTTAGAGTAAATGTTACTGATTTTTCCCTATTATATATTGATCATTGGTTTCTTACATATAGCCTTTATTATGTTAATACATGTTCCTTTTTTCTAGTTTCTTCAGGGCTTTTATTATGAAAGGATGTTGAATTTTGTCAAAAATTTTTCTGCATCTGTTAAGGTGATCATGTAGATATCTTAATGACCACATATATTCCTCCAGCTCGGAAAGTGTAAGACTTAAGAGGTGAGGACTACTATTTTGAGTCTTTACTCCCATTTCGTGCATGGAGAGCAGGAAATATTTCTCCCCTTCCCCCCCCTTTCTCCCACGTTTATCCTGTTAATAAACTTTAATATTTTAATTTGAAAAAATCATAGGAAATGATCATGGTGTATGACCTCTTTAATGTGCTATTGAATTCAGACTACAAAGATTTTAGTGTCTATTTTCATCAAGGAAATTATAGAATTTTTTTTTTCTTTTTACTGTATCTGTGTCCAATTTTGGTTTAGAATAATACTGAATTCATAGAATGTGTTTCACAGTGTTCCCTTTCTATTTTATGGAATAGTTTGAAGAGACTTAGTGTTCTTTAAAGATTTGGAAGAATTTAGCAGTGAATCCATTTGACCTGGGATTTTTTTTGGGGGGGGGTGGGCTTTACCACTACCTCAGTCTCATTGCTTGTTATAGATCTGTTGTTTATGTCCTCCCACCCCCATTTTTGTTCACAGTACTATCCTAATGAATATGTTTGTATACTTTTTGGTAGGTCATATATATCTAGAAATTTATTCATTTCCTCTAGCATATCCAAATTATAATACAGGTTTTTAAATTCCCTAATGTTCTTCTGGTTTTCATTAGTAACTTGTAACATCCCCCTTTTCATCTTTAAGTTTTATTAATTTGGATCTCCTCTCTTGTGGTTAGTTTAGCTAGCTAAGGGTTTGTCAACTTAGTTTTTC